AATTAGTTTGTTGTGTGTGTGTGTGTGTGTGTGTGTGTGTGTGTGTGTGTGTGTGTGTGTGTGTGTGTTAAAAATTTATTAATATATAATTCCATATTTTCCATATTTATTTTGATTTTCAATTAGACAAATATTTCAAATACGCGAAAGCAATTCTTTTAAATAATTATTTCGCTGAAAAAGCGAAATGACATCATTTTACTGATGCTAATCCTTGTAAGAATCGTGGGATCAAAAATCACTCGTAATTCTTTCCCTTCCAAGTGTCGACCGACGGAAGCTTAGCTTTCCAAGAAACACACGCTACTTTAGACATACCACTTGACATATTTAGCTCCGCAGTTGTAGTACCGGCGTAGTAACACATACCGGCAATTCTTTTACCGACACGTTTCGCTTTATACCCCTACGAAAGTGCACGCGCCGCTTTACAGCTTAAGGAGTTTTCCTAAGGAGGATGCGGCGCGCAAGAAGGCCGAGTACAGCATTATAATACTTAGACTGTATCTAAGTGGACAACTTTCACGTTCACGGAGGGTGCGCGTGAATACGTAAAACTCTAAATGCAAAATGCATATGTAAAAAGGAAAGAAACAAATGTGCTATGAAGAGGACGTACCGACCGTTTAAATGCGATGAGTTATTTTAAATTTATTTCATTCAACGTATCAATCAAAATTATTTACAATTAAAATTAATAAAGTTACTGTTACAATTGCATAAAAATATCTCGTTATTATATAATATAAAAATGATTGATGAAGAATTTAGATTTCTATAAATTTTATTGAAAATTTTTAGATCTTTGATCAAATATATAACGTTATCTGTTTAGAAAAAAGTATAATATTTTTTCAAGAATATATTTTGAAATAATTTTGAATTATTGCACAAAAGTATTTCGAACGAGCAAATCCTTAACTTTACACGACCGATGCTTTGCATAACTCTGCAGCCATGTATAAACTCGCCGCAGGCATGGCAGAAGTACACCACACATTCATCCACAAGTGTCTGCTTTACTTTCGGATACATGTGCAGCGACGTGAGTCAGGCTAGATGTACCTCGTCGTGGCTTTACGAGAGAAGTTTCGGTTTTTCATGCATTCAACAAAGCGCGATGCACAAGGTGTCTTCATAAAAAAGATTCTGCATGGAGCATGGAATCGAATCAAATATTTGAAGTTAGGACCAGAAAGGAAATATTAAATCATTATTGTAATAAAACATTAAATGTTGTAAATTTACTTTCTCAATTTTAAAATCAATCATCAATTTCGAAATATAGTCTCAGCACAGTTTATTAATTGTCGAGATAAAATAACTTTGTTGTCTTTGTTATGTTTTTAGAGATAAAATTAATTGAGCAATCGTCCTTCGTTATTTCCTTTCTTTGTTACGTTATTATGAGTGATCATATCTTTTTGACGCTTAAAATTTATGAAGTTTGGAATACATTCTCGTATATATTCTCGTAATATTCTTTTAAAAATTGAAGATGAAGAAATACGATTCTTAAGACACACCGGATATGTAGGAATGGTTCTTCAGTGTTTACAGGTCGAGCCACGATGCTCCATGCCTCGGTCGTGTACTACGTCGAGATGCACCCATCAAGGGAACCCAATCGCTTTCCATCCCCACTCACTCGCTTCACCTGCATCCCGTCTCGGAGGTAGATATCGTGCGCCAAGAAAACAAAGTAGACGTAAGCGAGGCGGTGGAAGGGCAATCGAGAGTATAACCCAGTCGACAGAAAGTATGGAAAAGGCGTCCGGGCGGCCATGGCTGAACTGCAACAGACGCCGCCATGTCTTCCCCCTTTCTCTTCCCCGTTTCGTTTCTGCATTTTACCCGAACATTGCGACCGGTCCTCTCGGTTTATTTGGTATCTCTTTGAGATAGGTACGAACTGACCGAACGAACAAACATCGTGAAATCACATTTACTCGCATTCAACTTTCCTCGATGTAAGAGTCTCATAAACAAGTCGGATCAAACGCAAATTAAACATTCCGCTTGAAACGAACATTTATGATAAAAAATTATTTTTTTTTCTGTTCTTCGTTTACATAATACTTTGCTTATATTTGATCTAA